TAGCAGACAGGAAAAAATCACGACACGCAGTGACTTCCACTGACGTCACGCAAATCGACGCAAGATCATATTCGTCGATGTCATTTTAAAAGTGTGGAAAACTATCTTTTGACAAAAATACTTAATAAATAAATAAAAAAAATTAATGATACATCGAGAATACGAAAAATCCTACACATTCTGAAGATTTTGCTTAACATTTGGAGATTTTTCCTATAATTATCCGCGGCCCAATAGCTTTTTGTACAAACCGTTAACCGTAACATTATAAATTCAGCTAATTAATAAAAATAGATCAAGCTGATTTTACAACATTAATGAAGCAAACCTAAACTATTTAACTAGTTAAGAACAAGTTAACAATTCGATCAATTTCAGGGCTGTGTTTAAGTTCGAAGGACCACGAATCGTGACATCGGCCAAAGGCGAAGATTTCAACCAGTTCAAGAAGCAATTTGGAGACGATGAACGCGCATTTGGATACATCCGCGTTCAAACAGGCGATGAAATGTCCAGAAGAGCGAAATTCTTGTTGGTTACCTGGGTGGGACCTTCGGTCAGTGTGTTGAAAAGGGCGAAAATGTCCACGGACAAAGCGCTCATCAAGGATGTTGTATCGGTAAGTGTTTTAAATTCGCCGACTTGCATAGTTTATTGTTCCTATTTTTAGCGAAACAATACAATGGGTTCTTTATAAGAGGATTAAACAATCGGGTTATCATTGGAGCATACTCCTAACGTGGTAAACAAAAGCCTTGCAACCTTTGCTCTCTTTTAGTCGGAGGCATGCGGTTTTGCATGTTAACTAACTCACATATACATGTGATATATGCCCAAGTCTTAACTGATGACGACACCCATTAGGTGCTTATACCTTCCACTATGCTGCAGTTGCGTAATTTTCGTTAATATTGATCTTTATTAGCTGATTTTTTGCACATTATCTTCCATTGGGTACTTTTTCTATTAAAATTTGTTTAGATCAAATCGCAATCTTTCCATCTCTGGTCGAGATGATTAACTTCGCTATGAATGATGACGCCCGTCTTGGAAAACAATGACTAATTACATTTTATTGCAGACGGAATAGAATATTGTCCGCCTATAAACCGGAGGAAGTCGTTTCGAATTAGGTGCTAATTCAGCCTTCAAATGCAAATGAATTGCTAAATACGCGTATGGCTCAAATTACAATAATACGTTGGTCTTGAAAACCTGAAAACATGCTCTGAAAGGCCTTAATTCAAATTCAGATCAATGATCAAGGCCGTACCACTCTTAGATTATTTTTCTTGTTAACAATTATAAGCTATTAATAAATAAATACACGTAAACCGTCCCTCAAACATTTCCCCTTGTACTGAACTAGGTACTTTCAAACGCATAAAAAGACTTTCTCCAACAGTTTGAACCAAAATCGTCAATACATTCAAGGTAGAAAATCGCAGAAATTTGGAATACCAACTGGTAAACAGCTGGCATGCCTTTAACATTCATATGCAAATTACGACTTTGTATAAGATAAAATCACTCACCTGCTGTTGTTTTTTTCAGAATTTCGCTGTTGAACTCCAAACCGAAAACATAGGGGACATCGAGTTGAGAAACTTCGAAACTGAACTGGACAAAGCCGCAGGAGCGCATTACGGAACTGGTGTCAGAAGTTAGGGTAACCTTCAATTCCGCAACTCCTTCCAATGGCATTTTCTCAATATATAAAAGTGTTAGTTTAATGTATTTTTCATAAAGGGACCAATAAGCCAAACATCATGGAATTTACTGCCACTGGAACCCATTTAGACCGTAATTACTATACTACCCTGTATATTTTCTAGCCTTGTAAATATTTATATTATTATTAATTGTTTCAACTGTTTGACGATATGTGATGCTTATTTTGTAGTGTGTAGGTTATTGTAAGTTGCGTTATTATTATTGTGCATTTTGAGAATCAAAAATTCAAAATAAAAAAATCAGCATTTTCCCTTGTATACATACAGTGTTGCTTCAACAAATATCAATTAAATTTATCAGTTTTATTTGATAGATGTTTTTTTAACACACATTTTCCGGTTTCGGGATCGAAACGATGACCAATTTGACGATGGAAAGGACATTTGTGGAAAATGTACAAAGTCCAAGGTGCAATCGAAGGAATCTATGGGAATCGTTCGAAGAAAAAAACATTACTACCTATAAAAACTTCTAAACTAAATATATTGCTTAAGTAATTATCAGATACAATAACGAATGATGAACAGATGAACGAAATATCCTTATAATAAAGACAATGAAAAATATTTTCTAGAATTTGTAATTGATAAATAAATTGATATGAATACGTTACCTAAATATAAAAGAACTCGAAATCGGTCTTACTCATACAGGATGATTTTGCTTCAGTTTCGATTGGCCTATAGTTTGGGCAATATACATGACAGTTCCAATAGTAATTGCATATTGAAACCGAAAATCCGCTCTAAACAGTCCAAAACAGACTCCGATTTGATTGAATTAAAAGATATGAATATCGATATAATACACGACATGTACAGGTTATAAACTTACCACTAGCAACTTATTACTTTTTATTTTCTTTTTTATAGTAAAATATAGATTATGGCTAATTTGAGTATTTTGTTAGAGTAACTAACAATTCAATACTTTGTTTCTCGGACATATGTCCAAGAAACAAAGCAGTTGGTTGCAAGTGAAGTCGTTTACGAACCATCTTGAATATCTTCCAAAGGTTTCCTTCAGAACGTGGGAAAACACAATTGCTGTTCAGAACAACGTACAACGAAAGTGGCAACAAGAACATAACTTACACGTAAAGCGAGTGACTTAGAATAGGTTTCAACATTACTACATGTATCTACATGATTGTCAATTATCTCTACAATGTAGAATTGTAGGCAGAGTTTTAATTTTTTGGCACTTAGAATTACGTCTCATGCTTACTAAATCTAAAACGAATTAAGTAAATAATCTGAAAGAGTGCGCGTCAGCATCAGGATCGTTGGAACGACGACTTCACACGTCCTACAAGCCCCAGTTACCGTAAAAAAGTAACATTGTTGCTTATTTAGTTATATAATTAACGTGAATTAAAGCTGGTTCTCAATAACAGAATTTTTATGTTCTCACTCTATTTAAACCGATTAACTTTTCGAGGGTGGAAATAGCAAATAGCAAAAAGATGGGATTCACACTATCAAATCACTTTATCATCCAATCCATCATGTTAAAGACGAATGAAACGAGCAATTGAGAGAGAAGGTAAAGCTCACATTCATATTGTACAAACGATGTATTCTCTTCCTGAATTAGTTCTGAACATGAAATTGCTCTAGAGGAAAAAGAAGTCGCGGATGCACTCGTTTGAATGTTATGTGGAGTGTTCTTCTCTTCCAAATACATGCATTTTTCGTCAACAAAATACCTTTGCCAAATTTGTAGCATTTCCGTCAATGACAGTATTCAAGGCAGTTAGATAAATGCTCATACTCCCATAGTTTTGTCATTTGCTTAAAACAGCGCTTCCACTACTTACAAATAGTATCTTACCCTTTAAATAGAAAAATTAATTTCTGTTAATCTATGTCTCACTGATTATGAACACAGTTTCGTCATTCACCAAACGCTCATGCGGTTTATAATTAAATTAATATTGCAAATTAACAATGGCACTAAAAACAAATAACTATTATTTGAATATCAGGCAGTGATGTACACAGTACGCTAATAATGTAAGGGAAATTATTAAACGAGAGTAAATCTGCTAATAAACTACCGTGTTTAATGAGCAAATTAGGATGTCTTGTAAACATTTCCACGCCAACTCATAACATGATCAACTTTGTACAATAACTTCCACAAATCCTCAATACTTGCAATTTTTCACGAAAAATTCACTCATTTTGAGCTGTTTTTTCGCCGAGAGGAAGCCCAGTCTATGGAAGTCGTTTATTTACTATTTACTAACCCAAACTCTAGTTCACCAGTGTTACACTTACGACTTTCAGTGCTTCTTTCATGTTACATCAGACGCACATCTCAATATCTTCTATAATTGGTAGATGTTCAATTGCCGTCAATTTGACTAAGGTTTTCTTAATCCTTAAAGCTGGAAGCCGGGCGTTACTGTTACGGCTCCAACATTCTTTCATTAGTTTGGACATGCCACACAAAACCTTAAAATAGGTCAGTAATTAAAGTGAAATCTTACTTGAAAAATGTAACGATGCGCTTACCAAGTCACTGGTCCATCGGTTTGGTATGCTGGGCCGTTGCTGATCGACGCAGACGACTTTCCTCATATCTTCAAAGCTTGGATCGCTCGGCACCACATCGTAAAAGGGCGGCTTGTATTCCTCCACAATACCATTACTCACCACCCTTCTGCAGATTTCCCATAGCACTAATCCAAAAGAATATACGTCTGCTCGCTTGAAGGATTCGAATACTTCCATCCGGATACTAAAAGGCACGATAATATTTCACGGATTCACAGCAGTGAACGTAAACTTACGTTTCATCCAGAACTTCAGGAGGCATATATCTTTTGGTGCCCACTTTGGGATTCGATCCGATATCAAGGGTGTTGGTAGCTTGAGTGTGAGTAACGGCAAGACCAAAATCAGCGATGCAGCAGATGCCGTTTGTTTTAACCAGGATATTTTTTGTCTTGATGTCGCGATGTGCAATTGCGGGTTTTCGTCCCTGGAAACAAAAAAAAAAACGAATTTTAAAACAGTTTCTATTTTAAATTGACAAAGTACATAACACACTAATTAACTGTTTAAAAAAAAACACCCAGAAGACGATGTTTGAGCACCGTTTCCTGTTTGGACCCCGAAAAGAAGCAACTGAACTACTCAAACTACTTTAATCCCCTGGTAATCCTACACAAAGCATCACCAGGGGATTAAAGTGTGGCACATATTATATACTCTTATTGAACACACAACATCTCCTAAAAGCGTCAAACACTTACTTGGGTTCCGAAAATTTCTGTATGCAAATGCACCAGACCGGTAGCAATAGACAAACATATCCTCATTAATTGGGCATGTGTTAGAGTGGTGTGATTCAGGTAATCGTAGAGGCTGCCCAGCGCATGATAGTGCGTTATGAGCCATAGTTGTGTACAGGAATTGCGCGACGTCATATCTGAGCCGATATAGCCGAGCACGTTATCGTGATGCAGCAGAATAGTACTGTAAATGATCAAGAACATTATTTTAATCACCACTGTATCAGTTTCTAACCGCAACGTTACCTGTAAATTTCAGTTTCCCTGTTCCAGCTGGCCTCGTCTCGAGAAAAGAAAATTTTAACAGCGACGTTCTCGTTGTGCCACTGTCCTCTCCACACTTCTCCAAATCTGCCCTTCCCGATGCACTCTATCAGAGAAATTTGCTTCGCCATAGTGCGCTGTATCAGAAGGGGCAGTCCGGATCCACTTCCCGATGTCATCGACTGTTCCAAGTACTCTCGAAGAGTGCTGTCGCCTGCTGCAGTAGCCCGTAGTAGTTCATCTGTAGCATAGTATTGCTCCGGATTCAACCTAAAGCAAAAATGTACTTTGATGCAACTAATTTCGATTCATTAAAAAAATATAGATATAGATAGAAACTATTGGATAAAATAAAGTAACAAATCATGTATTAAGGACAAAAGTCAGGTCCACTGAAAATCCACCCCGTCACCAGATCTAAGCTAATGTAAAATGAGGAGACTATCCATCCGGTTAAAAATCGAGTTTTGTTCTAGGTGATCATTTCATTCATTCACAATTTAAATTTGTTTTTCTTGCTCACCTAGTCTCACGAAGTAACCGATTCTGATGCCATTTTTTCAGTAAGGTTAGGGAAATAAATCCAACGATCGCTAGAACGCCCAATGGCCCTACAATGGCTGCGACCATCTTTAAGCCGAAGAGGACTGAACCAGACACTTCTATGAAAGCCTCTTTGTAAGGGGCTGGCAAATCGGGAAACGTACCATTATTGCAAAAATCACCTAAAAAGAGTAAATTATTGCCAACATTAGGATATGCAAGTGGAGATTTGTGTACTTCTGTCTTCTTACCTTCACAGCATTCGACTCGGTATTGGCCACTTGCGTGTCTTTTGTGTTGCGCCGTGAACGATGGTGTTTTACACATGAATATCACTTGCTCGGATTGGGTAGTGCAACCCCTCGAAATACTCTCGGCACCTAGAAAACGTTTTCATTAATATCAGACAATCAGTTGAACAAATTACTCTTCTAGATAGTATCAGATTGTCTTAAAACCTTCTACACGAAATGCTTAAAATAGTTGCTGGTAAATGCTAAAAGTACCTGTACTTTCTCGAACTCGGGACTTCCAACATTGGACAGCATTGTGGCAAACAGTTTGAATGGCACAATCGGGAGCATCACAAGAATGGCACTCATAGGTCTTCGTTGTTAAAAAGTTCACTTGATTCTGTCGATCCAGGAAATCATCATTAGATTGAAAGCTGTCATCGCTGTAATCGTCGTCATCTTCTGAGGACTCTTTAAGTGATAGCTGATCTTGGCAGACGATATCTAGGCAGAATAGAGGATTTTTTATGCCAAATGCCAGTTTTGATGCGAACTTCTGCGAATTAATAAAAATCGGGCTGTTTTCTTCATTCCCATATCACGGTTTCATCAGGCAATATTTTAATAGGCAATAAAACTCCAAAGCTGCAAGCTGTGAACATGGTAACAGGTTTACAGCCCTACGGGTATGCAAAAAAGGCTTCGAAGCAATTCGAGTGTTGCACTATACACTTGCCAATAAGCGCTTTAATCAGTGGGTCTTGTTGGCATTAGTTTTGTTCATTTCTGTGTAGTGTAGAACTACACTGTGCATTTTCAAAGTTGAAACTAAACTCGTTGGAAAAATTAGGAGCAGTTAGCAGTTTGAATTATTGAGTATGTGTACAACATGATCTTCTGGCCTGTTTATAAACACCAGCAACAAATTATACTGTATTAATAATGCTTTATTTGGATTTGTTATCGTATCTGTAACGTAGCTGCAAGCTCTAAAGATAAAAGTTCTCTTAGTGTTAAGCTAGTAACGAAATAACATTGCAAAATAGCAAATGGCAAAAGTTAATAAAAGAATATAAGAATTTACCTGAGGAAAACCGAATAAATATCAACATAAACAAAAAATTTCTGAGCATTGATGAAGCCATTTTACATGCCTGTCATACTGATTGTTTTCTGTCGAAAATGTGTAATGCAGGCCTGCCAACACCAATCAAATTGTTTGATCAGCTTTGGGAAAAACCCGCGTTTATTCAATTTTTCTGACGTAAATAGGAAAATTTCCACACGATAAAGTTGCGCGAAATAGTACTGAAAATTTCCAAAACATTTAAAATTTTACAATGTACAGTTTTCCGATCCCAGAGCTCAAAATCACATAAAACAAATATACCTGTTTGCTCTTGGATAACTGTCAGGATTGTCAGTTATTCCCGCCATTCGAGTAAAAGCCCCAATCTAATTGTTTTGTGATAGTGTTTCTTTATTTTGTTAATTATTAACGCCGGCTGATGGCTTCAGTAGACGATATTACCGGTCAGTTTGAATTGTTCAACATAAAGCCCACTAACGAAGTGGTCTCGAAATGTAAGTGATTAGTTTGAAGTGATTTTAGCGGTTATACTCAGTTCCAAAATTGTCAGGTTTGGACTTGTGTTTGAAATACAATATCAGCGGAGAGGATATGGTGGACCAGTGGTTTGCCTATACAACCTCGGTGTTGAATGGCGCAGCCCCATCATTGGAATACCTGGAGAAATTGGAGAGAAAGGAGTTGATGAAGAAGAAGGATCACACTGATCAACATACGTATCCTTTGAAGTGGATTTAGCTATGTTTTTAAATGTTTGTTGTAAATAATCCTTAACGGTCGGCTCAGATCGCCTGTGGTCGTCTCTGAGGAGTTGCTGGATAAGCCTGATAATCTGATAAGAACTCCAAAGGTAAGTTGACAATTCTCAGCTCAGCCTCCCACTGGTAAGAAAGGTTAGCCACCATTTTTTCTTGATTTGTCTTGCTTGAAAGCTTCGGAGAACTGTCGACGTACGTTTCGATTCAATCGCGTGTAGTAGAAAAGGTGCGACGATCGACACGGCGTCTGCACTAGATGGTTGCGCAAATTACTTTGAAGTTTTCTGAGAAGCTTCAAGGCTACTAGATCCTTCAGCGGCCATTGTCGATTCTCTTGAAGACGCTTCGCTTTTGTTTGTGCGGGGTCGATAAAGATTTTCATGGATTTTATCGGGATTTTCGGGAAATTTCATACCGGCGCTTTTCCAACCTGTTGCTCTCGCTCAGTGGCCAGGTAAGTTTGTTTATATCGCACTTTGTTTTATCTTTGTATTCTCAGTTGAGACAAAGTAGTGTAAACAACCTGTATAGTGCTTTTATTCATTCTGTAGCTTTTCCATTAGAGGCCCAAAACCAATGACGCCAATTCCATTTGAATGGCTATTTCATGATTCCTCCTACGATGTGCCTAGTTTCCAAACAGTCACTTAGAAAATGCAGAATTTTACAAATTGTTCCCCTACTTCCTATGGATTTGGGAACCTTTTCTTCACTGAAAACATGACTGTTTCCCAATGAGTTCGGTTCTATCCCACGTTTGTTCTGATACTCGTGACTAGATCCACACTCATTAAGAAATTTTCATGGTGTCCACTATAGATGGAGTTTTTCTCGGTTCTGGGGCATTCATCGAGATTGATCAATCCCTGTGTAGGCGATTTTGGGTTTCGTCCACGTTATTTTTTGTCGTGACTAGATCCATACTCGTCTATAGGGGTATCAGCAGCATCTTCCCTTAATGAAGAAGCTCCTTCATCAATTTTCTGCCTACATAGCTTGCTCGGTTTAGTTATTAGTGGAGTTATGTTGTAGAGCATCTGATTCTAATGGATCTAACTACATTAGATAAATATACGTTTTGGGAGCATTTGAGAGGGCGTTTTATTGATAAATCCGTTATTCGTTATCCCATCACATTCTTTTACCTTTTCAGCAATCTGAGACTTGATTGAAGCTAGTACTAAGAGTAATAAAAGCACATTTATTGAATAAAGTAATGTTCTAGGCACTTGCCATTGGGGCTAAGTTGTAAGCGAGAAAGATAACCCGTAGTGAGCTTTTATTAAAGAAAACACTTCGGTGTTTTATTTAATTAAATTAAAAACTATTTATCTAAGAGTTTGGGACGCTTTCACATTTTCCGCAATAAGAAAAACTGTTTTTAAAGTCTTGAAGTTGAATTTGAGTAATTACTGTTACAACCGTTTTTCATTTGTTTTTCGAAAATTTCTTTCTTACTGTTTCCCTTTTTAAAATTGTTCGATTTTTCCAAATGTCTTCACATCAACACATTCGAGTCTCGTTCAGTTTGTATTTCAAAATATCCCAATCAAAAATTCCCGTTAGTTTTATTTGTTTCAAATGTTATTTACTTGTTTTTTGAATATCTTCTGTTTGGTAAATGTTTTTCAGCTTTAAAATGTCGGTACAATAAAGCGCAAAAGTCCGACCGGTTACTTTAAAACACATTTTTCGGGTTTTAAACCATCGTCAGATCAAATTTCGTACAAAGTCTTATACGCTGAGAACAAAATTCGGCTAATAATAAATCTAAATTCTATTTTGCAAAATATTCGAGTCAATAACTTTAATGTAGACTCATTAAAATATACAGGGCATACTGGGTGTGACTTCAGCTGCCATACAAGAATGAGTGAACTGAAGTTAAGAAAACCACTATTTGAAGTGGATCACTCTGTATATTTGAGCAGGCAATTAAATCTAGCGGAAAGGAAGATACTTTTAATACGTATCTTTAATCGCTTCGAAACCAACAACTGCGTACATCAATTTTTAGAACAATGAAACGAAATTAAGAAAATAATGTTTGCAATAAACTCGTGCTTAATCAACTCAAAGGCATTTTTCTGCACAATCGCTTTGCAGGCACAATGCGTCTTTGTTAGTGACTTATCTGGAAACGCCTTTGATTATGCATATTGACCAATTTTCTGACTGGTCATGTACGATTACACTGGCTTGTCTGCTTTTGATAATCGTTATTTGACAATATACATATTTGCTATTCGATACTAGGAGTCAAAGATCAATCCAAATTGTTAGAATGAAATAAATGGCATTTTTTTCTTTTAATGTAAAAGCAACAGTCTGGGCATGTTTCGTTTTATTGCAGGGAAACCATGGCGGACCAAAGAGGATTCAAACCCCCGCCGCACATGGCCGAAAGTTATTGGATGAAAACATGGACATTTCAATAACAAGCAGCCCTAGGTAAGATGTTCTCGAATGCAAAATGGGTAAAATTATTGACAATGTACAGGGTTGAGCATACGTTATGCGGTTGATTGGCCTGCGAAGTCATTTGCAGTTATTACTTTAAGTACAATCTTTTTTTAAATCCTAACTAAGCCGCTTACTGGAATGATACCAAGGGCGGATCCAGGATCCCCCATTCAATTCTCTATCCAACGATGCCAAAACGAATTCAGTGGCTGGCTCGAATGGTTCTTGAGAAACTTCGAAAAAAGCAGCGTCATGTTCGAGTGGATTTTGCAACTCAAAAAAAACCACGGAAATCTAAAACTTCTTGAATTCAAGCATTTTTTGAGGAAACTGCAACATTTCCTTATCGATGGTTCACTTTCTAAAAAGGCCATATTTTTCTGCCTAGAATGATGTACAAATGAGCGTCCTTGCTCATTTTGCCTCCGAGATATGAGCAAAAACGGGACGGAAAACATGAAATTTTGCAATAATCTTACGCCACCCTTGCGCAAAACGATGATAATTTTTCTAATTTTATAGACAACAGAAGACTGTATTTTTTCTACATAACCCCCCCCCCCTGAATTTAAAGCTGGATCCGCCCCTGAATGATACTATGCGAGACTAACGGAGGCCTATGTCCTTGAGCCTATGAGCCTAGAAGAACGGCTAGAAAAAGAGGAAGCCGCATACAAATTCTATCCTATTTTCCACGTCTTATGTGTGATTGTATCAGTCTTTTTTCCAGTATCTTCATAATCTTGCAAATTAAATTTCCAGTGGTTCGTGCATCGTGTACGCTCAACGACCAGATTCCCGATCAGTTCGATGCTCCTACGGCTTGGCCAAAGCTAAATTCCATCGGTCTGGAGATCTGGACCTGCAGGTGAAGCCTCTATATGAAGACGGCCTGCAGCCCAATCAGAAATGGATGCACGAAGTGCTGGGCAGAAGATCCAAGTGCATCGACATGATGATTGAAGATTTCTTCAGCGCCATTATGCACAAGCACCAGCTGAAGCTACCCGATGTTCAGGATACTATTGGGGTAGGCTTGGGCTGATGTTTAAAATACATCAGGATAATATACTTCGCATTTTGTATTTTATTTAAGGATGGTATTCTGCTTTATGGACGGATAATTAGCGACGCGGGTGGCAAGCTGAACAATCAGTCGGTTTTACTGGAGCAAACACAGGCGCACAGGGGTAACACGGTGACTTTGAATCTGTCGAAGCTTAAGAAATACTCACTGTTTTCTGGACAAGTGGTGGCAGTGAAAGGGACCTACTTGAAAAGCGGCAATCAGAAGGACAAGTTTGTTGTGGATGCGATTTATTCGGACGCCAGTTTTCACTTTTTGCCTGACCCACCTCTGATCAAAGGTAAGTAACTAGATTTTTTGCATGCAGATGGTGCAATAAAGAAAGGTTTACTATAAAAAATAGTTATATTGATCTTATCATTAACTGCACTACTTAGACAATACGGTCATGATATCAATCATGTACAAATTTCGTCGACTTTCGGGCTTTTTGCTCAGCAAGCTGACGACCAAGTCGCCGAAAAGCTGCTCTGGCGTTCTCTCCGTTCTGCTCTTTCCCGCCGGCTCCTTTTCAAACGGGTTTTCTTGAGTTCGTATTTTCTTGTCCACTGCCGAGTCGCCGTAGCTTCCAACTGAAGGCTCCCTCTGCCGTTTGGCCATCGGACTGCTGTAGGAACTATCGGCCACTTGCTGAACCGTACTCTCCTCTTTGACGATGTTCAGAAAGTCATTCGAAGAGTCAGTGTAGTTGTAATCGTCCGCATCCACGTTACACCGGATGTAGCTGTAGTTGCTGCTGCTATTCCCTTCGTGGTATCCCGGCATGTGATCCAGATAGTTTTTCCTGCTGGATTCGCTCCCATGGCTCATGTAGAGATCGCTGTGCTTGCGTCGATACTGTATCACTTTGTCTAGGAACACCAAGTCGTCGAGAAGCTCCCATTTAGCTTCTCCTTCTTGGAACTTGGCCTTCTGTCTTATATACTTCTCCCTCAAAGCTTTCCAGCGCAACATGCAGGAATTAATGTCTCGATTCAACGTCGAACTGATGTGTTCCCAAAGTTGGTGCTTCGACGTCTTGTTCGGATAGGTGTTGGAATTTCTGTCCCAAATCGGAGAAGCTTTCCGCACCATTTGGATCAGTTGTTTGTCGAAATCTGTCGGATCTGAGTCGGAGTTTATCGAAAGGTCGTCCTCACTCGCACTGTTTCCATTCCAGATTACAGCACGTGGCACAATGTGCGGATCCAGGAATTTTAATTTATCGAGCAGGTCCCACAGGTTGCAGTGGTCGCCTTGATGTTGGGCTTTGTCTCGTTCTCGCAGGTATTTTTCCCGGAGGGACTTGAAGGCTTCTCTGCAGGTCGAAGCTGGAAAGAGACACAAATCTGCACTGTGGAATACGTTTAATGTGTATATACTTATACAGGGTGATTCAAAATTGGCGTCATTCCTTTCAATTCGTTTTGGCATCGTTGGATAGAGAATTGAAAACTCGATTCAGTTGTAACAACGTGAGTGAGGAAATTCGAGTAGTTTTGACTCAGAAAGCAAAATTTGAATAGCAGACACTTAGGTGCAACATTATGCCAAAATTCCATGTTTCCGTCCTATTTTTGCTCATTTCTCGGACGCAAAATGAGCAAGAACGCTCATTTGTACATCAATCTAGAGCTAAATAAATTACCTTTTTAGAAAGTGAACCATGGATGGGGAAATGTTGACAGTTTTGCCAAAAAATGCTTGAATTCGAGAAGTTTTAGATTTGCGCGGTTTTTTAGGAGATACAAATGGAGCAGGAGTTAATTAACTGAATACGAGAAGCTGCTTGATAAGAGTGGTTAATGAGATTACACAGGCACTAGCTTGTTTGGTGTTGTATGGATTATTTGTAAACACCAAACTCCGCAGAATTCGAGGTTATGAGGACATGTTGACATTTCGAAAGTACGTTCCGCAGTCAACAAATCTTGTTGAATTTACCGTTTATCCTTGTCTATCTTATTGTCACTGTATAACTCCATGGTTACCGGAGTTTTAAATAATTACGAAGCCACAGGTATTTGCGCAATTTAATTAGGCAGATTACTTTGAAAAACATTGCTGCCGTATTTCTGATATAGTTTTTTGAAAATTTCTCAGTTTTTAACAATTAATTTATTTTACTATTTTTTCTGTACTTCTATAACGCGCCAGACAACACCTTCAGAGGAATGACGTCAATTTTGAATCACCCTATATACATGTGCACATACTGAATAGAAATACGAAAAACGACTATTTTGTCCACAATTTAACCGCAAGTTCAAGTTTATTTATGTTTTGCGAATAGTGTCAGTGATGGATTACAAAAAATTTCGAACGAAACTGCGAAAGGTTTTAAGGCGCAATATCATCTAGGTATTAACCCAGTTTATGGCTGTTTTCTTATCTGAATGTTCCAGTTAATTTTTCTAGTATTCCGATAGGTATATCGGGTATGGGTCCTTCAATAGACCAGGTCGTTCGTCGCATTCGAATGTTTAATAGGTAGGTATATTTAGCTCGAATTTATGCGATAAAGTTCCGTACATTTGTATGTTTAGTTTCTCATCTATCTGCGATTATCGAGTCTAATTAGCTGAAGCAAATCCGTTAAGGTCTTAGAAAGCAAATCTATTTATCCATAGGTAATTAGTATTTCAATGTCAACCATACTAATCGATTTGTATGTACGAACTTCAGTGTTACCTGAATGGCCCATTTTGTTCGCCACCTCGTTCCAGGCCTTCTCTTTAGCCTCCTTGTCACGAAATATCGGGCAATTCCGATCCCATAAATGCGGCACTTGTTTCACAAGTTCCACTAGTTGCCGATGATCCATAATTTCGAGGTTAAATTGCAGTTAATGCTAATTTTCACTCGGTTTTTTAGCTAATTTTCGCGAAAAAACCCACAGTCGCTTTCGCGTGGTTTAAATAAGTTGAAACAACGCAGGGGCAAGCGAGTTTCAGTGACGATACGACGCACAATATTTATCGATTCCCCGTCTCGAAACGCCAAACCGAAGCTGAAAACTAATTAAAGTTAATTGAATTGCCGTCCCCCTTTGCAGCCCAATCGGCCTGTTTCTCTCATTCGCATGCATTCGAACAGTCTGTCCTCTCTTAGCTGTTATACTTGTGTAATTAACGCAGAAGTATTCAATTAGTATTATAATTACAACGAAACCTTTCCGTTCCTAATTATGAACGATGGTTTAAATGCTAATGAATAAAGTAATTACATACCGATAAGGATATATTATTACTGATTCGCGTTTAAATACGGAAAATGATTAGTTATATTGTTGCACTTGACGCCGCGCTTTTTATTTTATTTATTTCATTCTCAATCAGGACCGGTTTTAGCCGTTCAGAACTTTCTTATATTTTTTTTAGAATCAACAACTACAATTTTGCTAATTACTAATTTAGTGAAGTAATTGCATTTATTAAAGCATTTCGAAGAGAAAATTCACCCGCTATTGCTTTTTCTAGAGCGTACTTAAATAGTATTTACGAACTAAATCTGTATATACAGGGTTATTCACGCTATACGGCACGGACGTTTGCGGCTAGCCCGTTTGTTTTTTGCAAAGTATTATTTGATGAATCCACAGACGGGTATCGGGCGCACATTTTAAAAATATTTTTGTAATGTACAGAGTGTCCCAAAAGCCCTAAAAGTATCAAAGTTGTGTTTTTCTAAATGAAATACCGTATGAATTATTGTATTTTTGGATTCGCTGCACAAAATAAGTGTCTGTTTTAATAAAGTTTATAATACCTAAATCTTAAGGTTTTTAAATAATACGAATTTTATCAAAATCTAATATTATTTTCATGTGTCAAATACTTTAGAATTATTTAAGTTATGTAAACGTAATTCGTAGTGTAGTGTAACAAGAAGCCATATTTTATATCCCAATGATAATAAACTTACCATTTTATACAGGATGTCCACAAATTTAAACTAATCAAATAAGAACTTTAAACCCCATATTTTTTAGCTTACCAGGAAATCAATTTTTAATTACCTATCGAACGGTACTAGGATGTTGATGACTAAGTTTTGGCCTTTTTACAAAATACACCAAATAATGGTTGTGTGCACCATTTGGTGTTTTTTTAAATTAAAAGTTAAATAACATATCAACAATGACATAAAACAAAGGCAAATTATTTATAACAAATGTTCGAAATGTTGACCGCCAATTTCCAGGCACTTGTAAATTCCTTTTTCAAAACAACTGCTAACTCTAAGTCTCTTTTGCGTGTTTCCATATCGTGTGAAGTTGTCGGAAGCGTATGGTAGACAATTCCTTTTATGAACCCCACAAAAAAGAATCTAGTGGAGTTAAGTCCGGAGATCTGGGAGGCCAATTTTGAAACCCATTTCTGCCAATCCACCTGTTTTGAAAGTTGGCATTTAAAAATTGCCGACTTAATTAAAAATAACAATTTTTATTCTCACATTCTCCAAGGGTGAAAATCATGTCAATACGCTCTTCTCTTGGATAATTCTTCATTTTAACTTAGCAACACAATAATAATATTAAAATAACGACCAACACGTCTACAATTACAAAAAACAATACCACTCTAGCTGTCAAAAAGAGAAAACTGATAAATAAAATAAATGATTTGACATGTGTAAATGGCATAGCCAACTTAGATACATTGGAACCTTAACTTAAACATCACCAAATGGTGCACAGAACGACTATTTTACGTATTTTGTAAAAAGGCAAAAACTTAGATATTAACATCCTAATACCATTCGATAGATAATTAAAAATTGCATTTCCTGATAAGTTAAAAAATATGGAGTTGTAATTAAATTAATCAAGTTAGAGCCACTTAAAGTTCTTATTTGATTAGTTTAAATTTGTGGACACCCTGTAAAACATGGTAAGTTTATTATCATTGGGATATCAAATATTATATCTTGTTACACTTCACTATAAATTACGCTTACATAACTTAACTACTTCTAAAGTATTTGACACGTGAAATCCAAAAATGCAATAATATACAGGACATTCCATTTAAAAAAAACGGAACTTTGATACTTTTAGAGCCTTTGAGACACCCTGTACATTACAAAAATATTTTTAAAATGTGCGCTTTCAAACATTTGAAACAACTTGGATGTTCTTTCAGATACTCTACAAGTTGTGGTGGCTTGCGGACCGTTCACAGTGCGGGACAACCTTTGTTTCGAGCCACTCAGCGACCTTCTGCAGTACGTGAAAGAATACAAGCCGCATGTGCTGATTCTAACCGGTCCGTTCTACGACGAAAACCACCAAGGAGTTCACAATGGCGAGCTGAGACAATCTACGGATAGTTTTTTCCGCGACCTGATTCACAGTACCATGCACGAAGTGCCAGAAACTCATGTGATTGTCGTTTCTTCTCGGAAGGAACCGCATCACTTTCCCGTCTATCCGACTCCTCCTTACGAAGTGGGTCAGGACTATGCGAATCTTACTTTAATGCCCGATCCCTGTATGGTGAATATCAATGGACTGGTTGTTGGTACTACCACAGCGGATATTCTGTTCGATATTGGGAGTTTTGAGTGTAGCGTGTAAGTGTTGAGGGAAGTTGCAAGTAATGTTTGAAAAAGTGATCGTTTCATTTAAGCGATCAATCGAACCGCGGGCCGCCAGACCGTATAGGCCGCTTGGCTTCATATCTGTTGACGCAGCAAAGCTTCTACCCCCTAGATCCAGCTGGTAAGGACGTATACATAGATCTCACCCTCATGGAAAGAAATGGAGTGATGGAGGTGAAACCGCACATTTTAATTTTGCCGTCCAACTTGAGGTTTTTTGTCAAGGTGAGTTTATGATCGGTTATAATTCAAAGATCTTTCTTATCTAATTCCGACTTCTTTTTCAGGAAATCAACGGTTGCTTGGTAGTCAACCCAGAAAGACTCTCAAAAGGATCCGGAGGCGGTTCGTTTGCCCGGATTGAAATATCACCCGGTTCGACGCAGAGTATTTGCGGACGAACTGCTTGCGAAGTGCTGAAAATCTAACTCTTAGAGGAATAAGAATTAGTAAAAGATATCGTTTATTTATTTTATGGAAATATTCAATATTTCTAGTGTTTCAGTTCATGGTTTTTTATTCGTAGAGAGTAATTACAACGAGTATAAAGCTGTTTACTTTGTAACTTTTCCCAAAATGCTCTATTCGAATATCCACGCAAGTAACCATAGTTCATCACATATCACTGAACTGATGGAATTTCCCTAAAGACATTTGGCTTTGCCGCATACAATTAATAACGTAATTCGTATCTTTGGCTTCTCTCAGATCGTGCTCTTTGTACATATCCAGCTGAGGGCCTCCAGCGTTCTAAAACGCACGAAAATTACCGTTTAACCCGCAAACTATTTCGGTTTGTATCACTTTTCTGGAGCTCTTGCATTTGATAACATTCACTTCACGAAAGCAGGCGTCTTCTTCGCCTTTGTAATCGCCGATGCAGCAGCACAGAGAGCACAGTTTCAACAGAATGGCCAGCGGATATGCCAAAAAGAAAATGATGTTGAGGCAAAATTCACTCTGGCTGAAAGAAGACATTTTAGAAAAGCTTGAATAAAAAAAGTACTTACATTGGCAGCATTCGAACGGTCCTTTCGCCGGTGTCTGGGTGCACTGGCCACCCCACAACGTCATAGCAAACCGATCGGTTTCTCAACTCCTTTTCCTGATATGAATCCAAAGGCTTAGGAAGATCGATGAGCATGCCCATGCCATATTCGCCCACGGTTTTTGAACCAAGCATACCTAGCAGGCCTTTCAGCAATCCTAAACACGCGAAGAAACCGCGGTTTGAATGGGATCGGGATACAAAGAATGCTTACCTAAGAACATTAACCCAAAGAGGATGCCTAAAAGTACGATAAACACCAAGTAAACGGGACTTTCCAGTATACTTTGACGATAGAATGGTTCAAAGGCGGAATAAGGCCGGTGTTTGCACGTTCTGCTGTTCCTATATCTAACTTTGTTAAGTGGTTCGGCTTTTTCAAAATCATCACATTCTATTGAGTAAATCCACAGGATGAGGAAAAGGAGCTTAACATAAACACAACACATAATAAAAAAATCTAACAAAAACTTGACGGAAATAAATACAATCGCTTTTGCATTGACGTTGCTTGAGTGATTGGTATAGGTGAACAAAAGGAGGTATAATGTTAATAAAACAGTTTCTCAGAGGCATTCACATTTACTGAGAAAAATACCTTAACAAACTACTTTTCAAAGAAAATAAAAAATCCTAGTTAATAAATACGAAGAAAAATTAATCTTAAGAAACCTAAGCGGGTTTCTCAATCCAATAATGATCACACATAAAAATGACAACCCAATATCACAAAACATTAAGCCATATATATATCAACTTTCAGTCTTGAGTTGTGACCTCAATATGAGAAAGATACCCTTGAATAAATAATTTGTATTCTGCCACAAAAAGTACATTTCTCGGGCAAGAATCCAAATTCATTTGAGATTGCGATGTCGATAACAAATTTGGAATGTTAATCACTAAAATTGTGTGAATTGAAAAAAGGAACTGTTGCGTTAGGCAAACTAATAGCGGCGTCCGCCACCAAAGCGGGGTTTTCGTCCTACCGATTCTCCTGCCCGTTCTTTACGCTCCTTCATTGCCTCGTATCGGCTAGCCATACTGTATATTTCCTCAGGTACGAACTGAAACAAATTCCTCCAATTAAATACAGAACGCAACTTTAAGTATTATTTCGGGAAATCAGAGGACCGGTTTGTTCTTGTTTAGCTTGAAAGTTACACATGGACATAATCAATTTTTTCAAAATGTAAAACTTACTTTTTTTACTAACTTCTTTTTGGGTATTAAATTTACACCAAAATTATTAATTAACATTACCTTTATTAATTTAAACAATTTGCACAGACGAATTATCAGAGCGAATTTTCATA